GCAGTGGTTTGTATAGGAGAATTCCAAGTCTAGGTACAATATAACTGCTACCTCCACTTAAATCCCCAGACTAATTGGAGCTCACTGGGCTAACAAAAATTCCCTAAAGAGCATAGCATCACTGGCCAATCAAAAGAGGGTCATGAGGTCCACTGACCAACCAGGAACTTGGACATGAGCTGATCACACATTTTTCAGTTCCAATTTCAACCTATAAGAACTTTCATCTGTAACTGTTTCGGGAGCCTGGGAATTAAACAGTAGCTGTCTGGCTCCTTACTCTACACTTTGCAATAAATACCTACTTTAAAACAAAACAAAACAATAAATACCTGTTTTCTTCCACCACCCAGATGTCAGTGATTGACTTTTTGCATGGGCAAACAGACCAGTTTGGAGGTTCTATAGTACCTTGAACCAGTTTTGAATGTTGTTCAGCAACAGAGGCCAGTTGCCATTGCTTGCCTGGATTATTACAGTAGCATCCTAATTGGTCTTCCCTATTCTGCCTCTGTCCCATTAATTTAGTTATTAATTAGTTAATAATACAGGAGCTGGAAATTCTTTACAATATGAGTCACATTGACCCACCTTGTACAACTCTGGTAGCTTCATCTGAGTCAGAGTCCTTATGTGGACCTATGATCTGGTGTGCACCAGTATTCCTCCCTCATTTTTTCTGCCGTAGCTATACTGACCACTTCTCTATCCTTGAGTCCACCAGACAGTTTTTCCACCACAGAGCTACGGTGTACACCATTCACTCATTCTTTCACTTCAGGGCTTTTACTCATGCCTTACCATGTAGTCTTACATGTAGGTAGGTAAGACTACATGTAGTCACCTTATCTAAAGTTTTTACTACCACTCTGACCCACGCTGTATTCCTTACTTTCATAGTGGTTAAGATCACAGAATTTTCTCAGAATAGCTGAATTTGAATCCTATATCTGCAGCATTCTGTGTATGTAACCTATAGATTACTACTTTGTAGAGAAGGAAGGTACAGTACAGAGAATCTAATTTACACAAAGTTGCAGAGGTAATAAGACAGAACAGAGCTCAGCACTTACACATCTAGTCTGGCTCCAGAGCTAAAGCTCTCATTTACTGCAGCTTGCCACCTCTCTTAACACTTCTAGTGAAACTCTCTACTCCTTTTCTGCCTATTCTGGCTGATCCTCAGTGTCTAATATGGCTCCCTTTGTGTCTATGCTACTCATCCTTCAAGTGCTCGTATTTTCCAGAGTGCCATTTCTGTCTACAAATCCCTCTGTCCATTACTCTTTTTTTTATTTAAAAAAAAATTTTTTTTGTGCATTTATGTCCATTACTCTTGAATAAAGCTGCCATGGTTCAAACTGCTTATATGCATTGCTAACTTTAAAGATACATCCCTAATTTAACTCTTCTCTGATGTCTTGTATTTTTGATTGCTTGTTTGTTAGACTCATCTAGATATTCAGCTAGCATCTCAAGCTCAGCCCACTTAGAATTCAAACACATTCCACTTGAAGCCATTTTTCACCTTTAGTATTCCCACTTTCAGTAAGAGTGCTATTGTTCACATATTTGCTATCTTAGAAACCCAAAAAGCATCCTTGATTTTTCCTTCTTTTCTTTTTCGATAAACAGCTGATAGATTTTGAAAGAGTACAGTGAAAAAATACTATTAGATTATTTTAAGCTGTAAGCACTGAACATTTCATTGCTGAGATAGATTCAATGGAAGGATTAAAACAAACCACACACATGCACGGCCCAATAATTTCCTGCCTACAAGGAACATACCTCACCAACAAAGATACACACAGACTGAAAATGAAAGGATGGAAAAAGATACCTGTCCATTATTTCTTTAAGTCTTCTCTCTTCCTCAGAGACTTGTCTTACTTCTATGATTTTTCTTCTCCTTCTTTTTTACATAGCTGCAGTTGAAAGCCTTCAAACTTGTTGATCATCCTTCTGCTTTGTTTTATGTTAACTGTGTACTCTACCAAAGACCTTGTGAGTTATGAAGTATGTAATCGGACTGCTGGTGTGAACAGGCATTTATGGGTAAGCGGTGTATGATGAGCAGATTTTCCCCTTTCCTTGTGATTCTTTCCCCAGTCTAGCCTAGATTCCTCACATGCCATGCTGCCCAGGACTGTGATGAATACTTAAAGGGATATCTTTTGTAGAACTCCGAGATTCTCTTTATGGAGATCTCTTCTCCCCTTTGTATACTGTCCTATGAACCATAGCTGTCTTGGTCATCCTGGAGTTGGCTTCATTTCTTCAACTCAGGGGCTCTATGGGACTGTGCCTCATTTCCCTTCTCCCTGTGTCTCTACCTAGAAATGTTCTTGAGGCAATATCCTGAGACTGAACACAGGCAGGATTCACTTTGTTATTTTTCCACCTATCAGAAGCTATCATCCTTTGCTGTCTGGTGTTTAGTGTCTTGAAAACCATCCTCTCATATGTTTTATCCAGGGGGTTTTTGGTTATTTTAAATTTAAGGGTAAACCCAAGCATGTTATTTTTGGCAAAAAGCATTTAAAAAAATTAATTGCTATAGTATTTTTTCTGAATATATTATGCATTCTTAAAATATCTTACCCCAAGCTGCCAGTTTTACTACTTCTTTTTTTTTTTTTGTTTCACTGGTTGAAATATGTGTATGCACAGACTTCAAGATTTTCTTACACTATAGAAAGCTTATTTTTAAATTTATATTTTTGTAGTGCATATGTATGTAATATGCACATACACTTTGCACACACATATACGTAATGTATTTCCCCATCTAACAGCTGCCCTTGAAATTTAACTTAAATCCTGATTGTAGTTTTGAATAGTATCTAAATTAAACAGTACAGTATCTTCTGTGTACATTAAAAGTTAAGTATCCATTTGTTGCTTCATTGCCTACTTTCATTGTAAATTTTAGGTTTAAAATGTTAATTTTTCTATTCACTATTGCTTTTTTTCTCTTGGAACATTTCCAATGGTTTTTAAATGGTTAGTAACTATAAATCTCTCCCTCATTCCTACTCCAACATACTTGATATTACTTTCTAAGTCAAAGAGAAAAGAAAAATTATTTTTAAAAAAGTTTTACTAATTATTATAGGAAAGGCAGATTTACAAAGAGGAGAGACAGATCTTCTATCCTCTGATTCACTCCCCAAAGTGGTTGCAACAGCTGGAGCTGAGCTGATCCAGGAACGTCTTCTGGGTCTCCCACATGGGTGCAGGGTCCCGAGGCTTTGGGCCATCTTCTACTGCTTTCCCAGGCCACAGGCAGGGAGCTGGATGGGAAGTGGAGTAGCCAGGACATGAACCAGTGCCCATAAAGGATTCTGGTGGATGCAAGGCGAGGATTTAGTCACTAGGCTATCGTGCTGGGCCCGAGAAATATTTTCCCTGTCAGTCTGTTTGCTTGGTTTTGCCTTCATTTTTCCGATCTCTGAGAATATAGAATTTATTGTGCTGTCCAATATTTATCCTTTCACCTGTATTCTGAAACACTGTTCAACTCTTGAACTCTTTATCTTCTGGTGTCCCTGTCCAGTTATGGTCTGTATGAAGTTTACTGCTGGGGTCTGTGTAGTGGGTGTGGAAGACACGAAGGTGTGAAGAGTATTGTTTTTGTTCCAGATACTCTATACTAATAGTTGTATAAATAATAATCAAGAATAATAATCTAATAGCTATATTCCACAAGGTGAAATTGCAAATGAATATTACTTTGGTAGATAACTTTCTTTTAATTTTTCTTTTTAAATTTTAAATTAGAATGAGAGGGAGGGAGAGAAAATAGAGGGAGAAGAGGAGAGGACAGAGGGTGGATGCAAGAGCATAGCATGGTCAGAGCGCTAGAATGCTGGAATACTCTGCCATCCAGGCAGTTCTGTGTGTGAGCTTCCTAACTGAACTTGATTCTGAGAAGGTGGCTGAGGTAATCTTTTCTCCCTTTCCAAAAAGGTAACCAAGAAATTGGAACTTAGTCCAAGTCTGTCACATAGTTGACAAACCCTAAACCCTAATGAGTTGAGCCATCATCTGTTGCTTCCCAGAGTGCATGTAAGCAGAAAGCTAGAAACAGGAGTGGAGCTGTGACTTGCAGTTTAGGCACTCCATCGTGGGACTTGGGTTTCTTAACCACTAGACCAAATGCTTACCCCATTGTAGATGGAATTTTAATTTACTCCCCAAGGCACCAGATTCACTGTCAAGGAACATGTGACATGTTTTTTTAAAAAAAAAAAAAAAAAAAGCTTAAGAATGAGCTTCTGGGGCAACATTGAGCGCAATGGATGAAAATGCCTTCTGCAAATCTAGTGCCCCAAATGAACACTTACTGCTTTAATTCCCAGCTGCTCTACTTCCTGCCCAACTCCTGCTAATGCAATTGGGAAAGCAGTGGCAGATAGCCCAATTGCTTGGGTACCTGCCGCTCATGTGGGAGACCCAGATTAAGGTTTTGGCTTCTTCCCCCAGCACCAGCCATGTGACCATTTGGGAAATGAACTGGTGGCTTCATGGTCACTCTGTTTGTCTTTCCTTTCTCTGTAACTCTGCCTTTCTTTTTTTTTTTTTTTTTTAAGAAAAGATAATCTGTCTTAACATCCAACTTAAATATATCTGTAATATTTAAATATAGCTTATATACAGAAACCACTACTATATGAAAGCATTACTATATTAAAAACATTATTGTATTTTCAGTTCTGGAATAACTTGGGGATATAACAATATACAGATGATATTATTCAAGAAAAATACTATTAGACTTGTGAAATACTATATCCAGAGGAAAAAAGTTCTAGAAAAGTCAATGTATGTATAGAGGAGATAATGATGGTTTGGTTTTAATGAGCTAAGTTTGTATTATTCTGGAAATAAGTCTGTGAATATAATTTAGAATTATTGAATTGTAATATATCATTTAAATGGAAAACTATTTAATTTTCTTTTGTCTTTCCTCCACCTGTACTCTTTTCTTGTTACAGATCATACGTCAGTTGGTGGTCTGGGAGATAGTTTTTATGAATACTTGTTAAAAGCATGGCTGATGTCAGACAAAACAGACCATGAGGCAAGAAAGATGTACGATGATGCTATTGAGGTGACTATTGCTTCAAGTTCTTCTTATTTAGCATATGTATTTGACAGCAATTAAGAAAATATAACCATTTTATTATATAAATTCACAGTAGCTTAATATTTTAATAGAAAAATCTTATGAGTCTTGAGCTTTTTAAAAATTTTTAACATGTAAAACTGTGTAGCTTACGTACTTAAGGTGATTTAATTGTGTTATATCCACAAAGGCTGGAAAAAGTTCAAACTTGTATACATTTCCATAAGCATTTCTTTTGATTAGCCTCATAAATTACATATCTTGAGCCTTATGAGTAAATTATAATAATGGCAGCACATTTATATAGTACTTTTCAGCCAAGCACTGTTCTAACCATTGAACATTTATGAGATTATTTAATCATTATCACCATCTTCGAAATAAGAACCTACCTTAAGGCACAATGAGACTTAAAAGTTTCCGAAGATCTCATGAGCGCATGGCTGTAAGTAATGCAGCCTGGACTAGAACTGTGTGGGTACCAAGCCTGTATTGTTAACCACACTTTTGTATTGTCTCATATTTGTACAACCTCACGCCATGTGGTTGTGCAGTTTAAAGTTAGAGCAAGACTCATTCCAGCATAAACTGTGTGGCAAAAGTGTATTGGTAAGTTTATTGTTTTGTAGATACATTGTATACCCAAATTTGTTAACAACGTAATTACTTGTAAACAGTTATATTTTCTTAAAATGACAGCCCCATGCTGATAGAGCCAGTGGTAAGTTTTCACCATTATAGATATTGTGTAAAAACTAAGGGTCATTTATATCTCTACTTTTGGGAGACATAATTCCTTATAGTTGTTTTTCTAAATGCACTGGAGATAGATAAACATTTAATATGTGACACACAATGCTTTGTCCATTGTCTACACTCAAAAATGTTTATTGAAGGATTGTGTAAACTAATGAACTAATACATTGGATAGAATTGAGAAAAGTATGTTCAAGAATCTAAATTTTAGTAGCTTCTACAATTCTTTGTATTGTCTTAAATTTTGAAAAGTTGGAGAGTTTCATTTTCTTATTAAAATTTAAGTTTTTGGGCCTGGAGCGGTGGCGCAGTGGTTAAGGTCCTTGCCTTGCACGCCCGGGATCCCATATGGGCGCCGGTTCTAATCCCGACAGCCCCGCTTCCCTTCCAGCTCCCTGCCTGTGGCCCGGGAAAGCAGTTGAGGACGGCCCAAAGCTTTGGGACCCTGCACCCACGTGGGAGACCCGGAAGAGGCTCCTGGCTTTGGATCGGCATAGCATCGGCCGTTGCGCTCACTTGAGGAGTGAATCATCGGACGGAAGATCTTCCTCTCTGTCTCTCCTTTCTGTATATCCACCTTTCCAATTAAAAAAAAAAATTAAAAAAAAAAAACTTAAGTTTTTATGGGCCCAGTGCGGTGGCCTAGTGGTTAAATTCCTCACCTTGATCTCACGGGGATCCCATTTGGGCACCGGTTCTAATCCCGGCAGCTCCTCTTCCCATCCAGATCCCTGCTTGAGGCCTGGGAATGCAGTCGAGGACGGCCCAAAGCTTTGGGACCCGATACCCATGAGGGAGACCTGGAGGAGGTTCCTTGCTCCTGGCTTTGGATCGGCACAGCACCAGCTGTTGCATTCACTTGGGGAATGAATAATCGGGCGGAAGATCTTCCCCTCTGTGTCTCCTCCTTTCTGTATTTCTGCCTTTCCAATAATAAATAAATAAATATTTTTAATTGCCTTTCTGAGCTAGTCTATTTAAGTTATTCCATCTGTACTTTGTTCTCCTCTGCATGTACAGATCTTCCTATTTCCTGTTAACTTTAAAAAAAATTGTTTATATTTATTTATTTATAAGGTAGAGTTTTTGAGGGGCAGAGAGAGTGAGAGTTTTGCATATTCTGTTCCACTTCCTAAATGACTGCAATGACCAGTGCTGAGCTGACCTGAAGCTTGGAGCCAGGTGCTGCTTCTGGGTCTCCCCTGTGGTTGCAGGGTCCTAAGGACGTGGGACGACCTCCACCTCCTTACCAGGCCGTAAGAATAGAGCTGCATGGGAAGTGTAGCAGCCAGGACTTGCACTAGCACGTATAGGATGCCTGCACTGCACCACTGCTCTAGTCCCATTCCTGATAACACTGACTAACTTATTTAATTGTACAGTTTATGTTCTGATGAAATTTATTCTAATTTTTAATTTTAAAGGTCCTTTCGGAGCAAGAAAGCAAAGCTAATGTTATTGAAGGTTTATTTAATGCCTTTGGATATAATAGAAATATTACCCTTCACTGCCGTTCAACAGTTTGACATTTTATACAAGTTGAATTGTTAGGGATTTATTCATATTTTTAGAGAGTGAAAAGAACCATACAAGTAATTCTGTGAGTCTATAAGTGGATTGCTTTGTTTAAAAATAGTTACTCTTTCTTTATGTCCTTTTAACTGTAGTTGTAAGTTTGTGGGGATATGTTTAGATATATTGTAATTATAATATGGTAAGAACTATGTTATAATGAACAGAAATAACAAAATGCCAAGAATATTGCATATAAATTCAAAAGCAAGATGAAGAAAATAATTATTAAGGAATTTATGAAACATCTTGTTTACAAAAATGTGCAAGCATCATGAGATCCACAAAGATAAAAACCTTTGTTCCTACACTCCCAAAACAAATCTTTTCATGTATGTATCAGAATACTTATGGCTAGAAAACAGGAACAGTCACTACACTTAGAATGCGCTGGTAGTCCATTATCAGTGGTTATCAAAAACCTCTCATTCTCTCAACAGCAGGTCAAGTGCAGTTATTAAGAATGCTGTTCATTGAGAAACCTATTAATTAAACATTTATCAAATTTGCACTACCAAAGAGGTTTTTTGAAGTAGAAGATAATGAATAAAACATGCTCCCTTCAATTTTCTGAAATGTTTTTTTATCACAGAGTATAGAATAAATTTTTCCAAAGCTTATTGTTACTGAATTTGCCAGAGAACAACCCACAATAAAAATAAGCATTAATTCTTGAGTAAAATATTGCCTTTTGTTGTCAGAAATCACTAGTATCATACACTGATTTCAATCAAAGAGAGCTGAATTAATGTGGTGTCATGTTTTTCTAGTAAAATGGCTCTAAAGGTAGAAAAATAGTCTATAACCTCTCTCAGCAAGGTCTGAGATTGTAGTTCAAAAGAGCAAAGCTCTTAAAAATCTCATTTTGAAATGAAATGTGTTTATTATGCTATGCAATAATTCAGTTTTTTCTCTGAGTAAAACTGACATTCCAGGAGCATCAGTTGTGTTTATCATATAGCCTCTTTGACCCATCTTTGTCTAAAACAAATTCCAAGATGAGGAAATAAAGGTGGCTCATTCAATGGTGGCTTTTTAAAGTACTTTACCAAATGGTATAGTTACATGAAAAATGAAAAGCCATTTTAAATATTGAAATTATATTTTCTTACTGACCTGGGCACTTGTCTCATTTTTTTGTCCTATGAAATAGAACATATATTACTGAAGGCTCTTGGGTTATAATTTACCATCAGAATCTCAGTTGAGTTTTATGAATTTTACTTAACTGAAGATGGCATATCCTGTAAAAGGTTGTGTTATTTAGAAAGCTGATCCTCAGCCATGTCTTCCCTCCCCAGATTTGTCATATTTAGTGATGAGAACACTTGTTTCAAATTATGTGCCATTTGTTTACCCAATCCAAATGTTATAGTTCCTTTTATTTATAATAAGTGTATACTATAACATATTGATAGTAATATTAATAACGATATAAATAATTTATAATTTATAATAAATTAAGTTTTTCAGTTTGGAAAGACACTGCTTTTATTTGTGTGATAGCCAGGATATAGAAAGTTTCGACATTAATGGTCTGCTTCTAAACACTTGAATATTTTCTCTTTCTTGTAGGCTATAGAAAAACATCTTATTAAAAAATCCCACAGCGGTCTCGTCTTCATTGGAGAATGGAAGAACGGTCACTTGGAAAGGAAGATGGGACATTTGGCTTGCTTTGCTGGGGGAATGTTTGCTCTAGGAGCAGATGGTTCCAGAAAGGATAAAGCTGGTCATTACTTAGAGCTAGGGGCAGAAATAGCACGTACATGTCATGAGTCATATGACAGAACTGGTAAGAATCTTAATGAGGTAATTTTTGTGTTAAAAAGAATGTCCAGGAATTAAAGGGAAATAAATAAATAATTTCTACTTAAAATAGTTTACTGTAACACAGTAGGTAATTTTTGTAAGAATTTTAATTTTTCATTCCAGAATTTTTTTTTCTCTTTTGTTCTTCCTCATTTTTTTTCGTTTTAAGTTTACTTAAAAGAAGAGGATATCACAAATACACATGGGACATGTTCGGCAGTAGGATGGGTCAAGAGAGGAAAAATTAGAGATGAAAATGCCTCTGCCTGCCATTCTGGTTTGTAGGAAGAGAGGGACCAGCCCTGTGTGGTGCCAGTCTCCATGTGATATTGAGAAGGAGAGTGGTTTTATGGTAACACCCCCCACAGATCACCTGTCAGAGGAAGTACATCTTGTGGAGTGATGGGGGGACTCATTTGATTGATGGATAGATGTGTGGGATTTACAAAGAGCCAGAGGAGTATGGCTTTCAACTCCTGTCCTATTTCATTCTCCTATCAGATATTTCCAATTCTTAATCCAAGGGTTGCTGAAAGGTGTAGATATATAATATCTTCTGTAGTTGCTTCCTGTTGATGAGGCGAATAGGGCTTGCCCATTCCTGGGTTTGCAGCTGTGTTGTATCTCATGTAATGCATCTCTCTCACAGGCCAGACAACTTCTGTTCACTGTCAATGGCTGTGTCCCACACATCTTTATCATTACTCTGAGATATTGTTGGCTCCTTTGCACAGGAGTAAGCAGTATGCGTGGTCCAATCATACAACATGTGTTCTGAGGCCACAGCACTTAACCACAGGTGCTTGACTTTGATACTGGAGATACTAGCACGTGATGCCATCCTTAGATGGAAGGACATGCTTCTTTCCAGTGCTAAGAGCCATTAGTGGGCCTCCCCCAATAGTGGGTGTGGTGGCCTGACTCGAGAAGGCCCAGCAGGACCCCAGTCCAACCCTGGTTTTTAGACACCTTGGCAGGTACAACCTCCTGACCTAGGGAATACCATAGCACTGGTTTTCCTAGTCCCCTTACCTGTCCTGCCCCCAGCCCTAGCTCTTATATGCACCAATGGGTGTAACAATCTGGCCAGAGGAGGCTGCAGCTTTGCCCACATCAAAAGCCCTCAGTGATCCCCACCCCAGCCCAAGGACCTCAGCGAGGAGTGGTGGCAATCCACTGGCCCCTCTCTTCTCTTGCACGTTTAACATTAAAGAAAAGAGAATTCTGTTGACGTACTGGTATAGTTAACACAAAGTTATCATGAACCAGGACCAGAATGCCTGCCAGCTATTGGCTGCTTTTCTCTAGGAGGTGTAACTCTTGTCTCATTACCAGTCAACCTAGACAGTTTCCTACAGCTGGGGCATAAATATTTTCACTTTTGTTTCTGAATTCTGTTGTGTAGATTTTTAAGTAATTGCTTTAAGGAAATGAAGTAGTGACGTGGGAATGTATGGGAGAGAAATTTTATGCGTTCATTTCTGCTTTTGTGAAATAAGATACTTAAAAGAACAGAAAATTGAACGTGATCTTATTATCTTGTCTATACATTTGTGAAAATGAGAATAATCAAAATATAGTAGTAGTTATCTTTAGTGTCACATTGATATCTACATAAGTAGAAATTTGCCCATTCACCAATGATTTTTAAAGTTCTTTTGAAAAATGTCTATTCATTTTTTTCACCTATTTCTTCTCTAGGTTGTTTCCTTTGTTGTCATTGGGTTTCTGAAGCTCTTTGTAAATCCTGGATATTAGTCCCTTATTGATATTATAGTATGCAAAGATTTTCTCGCATCTCGTTGATTGCTTCTTCACTTTGTTGATCATCTCTTTTGCTGTACAGAAGCTTTTTAGTTTGATGTAGTCCCATTTGTTTATTTTGGCTTGACTGACTGTGCTTCAAAAGGATAAATATCATAGGTTCTCTCTGATATAAAGCAGTCATCTTGCAAATTATGAGATCAATAGCCCTTTCAATATTGCTTTTTGCTAAATGTCAGGGAATTTGAATTTTTGTTTTTATTTTCATGCATTCAAAAAAGCTTTGTTTTTCTTATTAATTTCCTCACTCATAGGGCACACAATAGCATTTTTCTTTTTCATTTCTTCAGCGACACATTGGTAATTCAGTAGCATGTTGTTTAACTTTATGTTGTTAGCAATTTTGTATTTTTCTCTCTTGTTGATTTTGGTTTTGGCTTTTCATGTAAGGGGATGTATAGTAACTGCAGCAGAGGCTATCACATAAGGATGTGAACATGCACTGCAGTGTGCCTCTCTTCCTCCACATCAATGAAGCTGTTGACTATGTCTCGGCAATGGAATGCTGAACGCTCTGCCATTGTCGATACAGCTTATGTAGCAGAATGATAGACTTATGACTGATTGTGAAGGACTGTATTATTATAATGATTTGGGGAAATCAGTGGCTGGCAGGGCTTAAAGGAGAGGGGAGAAGAAATCCCAGAGTATTTGGAATTGTATTATGGAATAGCAAGAAAAATAAGCAAAATAAAAAACAAAAGTATGTCTACAACTAAATATATATATTTATCTGTTGATATACATTATGCTTAGCAATATTTCATATCAGAATTAATAGGGATATCTAGAAAATTAAATTTTGTGCTGTGGAAATAATTTGTTTTGCAAAACTGTAACAATATAAATAAATAAAACAGTTAAAAAATACTTTATATCCTCATCCCTTTAGGGGAAAAAATGTTCTTACAATCTAATACAAATTGTTTATTTTGTGCATTTGTTTCTTTTGTCCTGTTATAGCTGTAAAGTTAGGTCCCGAGTCCTTTAAATTTGATGGTGCATTGGAGGCTGTGGCTGTCCGGCAGGCTGAAAAGTATTACATCCTCCGACCGGAAGTAATTGAAACCTACTGGTACCTATGGCGATTCACTCATGATCCCAGATACAGGCAGTGGGGCTGGGAAGCAGCCCTGGTAAGTCCATCAGTATTATATTTCTCTGTAAGAATGCTCAATCAAGCCCCCTGTCATGCCATGCACTTTTGAGTTACTTCATTTTCAGTAACTGTAGGGAAATTTTCATTTATCTATTGAAGAAACTCCGTGGTAAATTTTGAGGTTCAATAGCAGTATAACCTTGTAATGCATTTTCCCCCCTATTGGGACTGCTGCCCTGCTAGTATACACTCATTATTCTTACTATAAGATATTTTGTGTAAAATGAGTAGTTTAAGTAACAAAATGTCACTATAAAACTCCCACTTTATATGCAAAGAAAGAATTATGACTGGATTTGAACTGTAATATTGCAACAAGGTGGAGGAATTCACCATGGAGGCAGGTTACGGGGAGGGGTTGGGGGAATCCCAGAGCCTATGAAACTGTGTTACATAATGCAACGTAATTAATAAAAAACAAAACAAAACTCCCACTTCAGTGCACCCATGCTAGCTTCACTTTGTGCTATAATTCCTTAATGAATCACATAACAATGATCAGTTCCAATTTTTCTAGACTGAAAGCCAGAATGTATACATACTTGAAATCAGGAATTTTCAGCTCAGACACATACTTGAAAAAACTTAACACATTTTCCTTAATAATTTCTGTCAGTTACTGTGTCAGGATTCTCAGTATGGGAAAGCTGTGGTAGAAAGTCCTTTGCTCATCTGATAAAGCCCTTCAGAACTCTTCTTTTTGCCTACTCACAGACACAAAATTCATTATAATTCCACTTGGTTTTTCCATTTGAAAAGCAGAACTATTAACTTCATATAAATGTTATGAAATTTAAAAACTAGTGCATCCAAGGCTCTTAGAAAAACCTTCAATACATGCTAAATATTTCTTAATTATTGGGTCTTAATATCATAATTATTGTAGCTAATAATATTTGTAAAAAATACTTATTTATTTGGTAGGCAGAAAAGGATGGAATGTCTTACATCTGCTTGTTCACATCCGAAATGGATCACAACAACCAGATTTGAACGAGGCTGAAGCCAGGAGCTAAGAATTCCATTCTGGTTTCCAACATGGGTAACAGGCTCCCAAGTATGTAGTGGCTTAAGCTGCTGCTTGCAGTACCCGCGTTCCATATGGATGCTGGCTTAAGTCCCAGCAACTGCCCTGCTGGTCCAACTCCCTACCAATATACCTGGGGAAGCAGTGGAAGATGGCCCAAGTGTTTGGGCTCCTGCATTCACTTGGGATACTCAGAAGTTTTTCCTGGTTCCTAGCTTTGTTCTGGCACAGCCCCAGCCATCATGGCCATTTGGGGAATGAGCCAACAGATGGAAGATTCTTTCTGTGTAACTCTGCCTTTCAAATGAATAAATACATCTTTTAAAAACTGTTGAAAATTGTATTTATTTATATGAAGGCAGAATTTCATAGAGGAAGAAAAAAGGAAAGTGTATGACCACAGTGGCTGGGGCCAGTTCATGCTGAAGCAAGAGCTAAGAGCTCCATCTGTGTATTCCGTTGAGTGGCAGGGAGCGTGGTACTTGGGACTTCTTCCATTGTTGACCAAGGCATATTAGCAAGGAGCTGGATTGCAAGCAGGGCAGTTGGAATGAGAACCTGTACTCCAGTATGGGATTCTGGAGTCAAACAGTAGCTTTGCCCCATTTGCTGGCTTTTTTATGAAAATATTTTTATTTGGCAATGTCTTACTCATAAACTGTCAAATTTTCACTGTGAAAATTTTCAGTGTCTCTGTGAACTTTTGGCTTTGGTCTTTAAATTGTCCTTTACAACTTGCGATTGTGTAGAACTGATCCATTTAATTTCTTTCACAGGCCATTGAAAAGTATTGCCGAGTTCGTGGTGGGTTTTCTGGCATCAAAGATGTGTATTCCTCTACTCCTACACACGATGATGTACAGCAGAGCTTCTTTCTTGCTGAAACGCTGAAGTAAGTAGTTGCCTTTTTAAATTGTTCTATTGCAGGCTGGTTTGCTGTGTGGTCACTAGATAGTGAATCATGGCTGTATGAAATGTTACACTAAATTATGATGGTTGTCCTGTTACACAATTGAGTCTATAAATTTTTAGCTGTATCTCAAGAATGACTTAAACTATAAAATAGATATTTATCAAATAAGTGTTTAGTATCTTTAACTTATTTTTTTGTTAGCTCTTTGTGTTAGAGTTACTGAGAAGTCTTCTTAAAGCACACAGAAATGGCCTGTAAATGCAGAAATTCTCCTGGCCTTGGTTTTAACACACTAGTGATTTAAGTTTGACCATAGGTTGGATTTGATTTTAACGTCATGTAAATAGTCTATTTTTCTTTTTCTTTTGTATTTAATAGGCTGTCTATGGAGTGATAGCCTTAAAGCTGTGAAAAGATTATTTTCGGCATTCTTTCATCGGGTGTTTTAACATCTTATTTGTATCATATATTACTATAGCAGTAGCATAATGCTAATTTAAATTCTCTTTGAGTCTTAAAAAATACTTAATTTCTAACATTCATATACCATTTTCTCCATGTGACTCTCCTGCTCAAGAGCGGAATGGTTTCATTTTTCATTTCTTTACATGGATATTCTATCACTAAACTAAAATAATTTTCATTCAGAAATTGTATATATAAAAAGCTTGTTATGGCTGCTCATTTGCATTTAAGCTTCTAAATTCCACTTAGATGTCACTTCTGACAGACTGACTTCTTTAGAGATTTGTTATTTTTTATTTGAAAGGTAGTGGTAGGAAAGAAAGGAGGAGAGAGAAAGACGTTTTTTCATCTGCTGGCTTACTCCCCAACATGAACTGGGCCAGGAGCCTATCTGTGTATTCTGCGTGGGTGGCAGGGGCAGCCCAAGTAGTTGAGCCATCTTGTGCTGCCATCCTAGTCTATTAGCAGGAAGCTGGATTGGAAGCAGAGCAGTTGAGTCCTGAACTGGCACTTTTATATGGGTTAGCAGTATCACAAAGAGTGGTTTAACTCACTATGCTGTAATGCCAGCCCCCAAGTCTGACTTTTACAATTGTCAAATGCCTCAGTATAGACCTGAACACTTCAGCACATGGCACAGGACTGGAAATACTACGTTGTCCCTTTCCAGTATCTTCATGGAATGTCGTCAGTCTAATTACTTTGGCCTGACATCTTCAGGCAGAATCCCTGTTAATACAGAAATGCTGTTGGCAACCAGTTCTTTATATTCACTGTTAGAAAAACATGCATGTTTAGATCATTAAGTGAAAAATACCAAGTAAGAAGAAACATACAGATAATTGTAACAGTACCTGAGCTGAAGAAATGATCGCAATTGAGTGTTACATTCACTGCAGCTGAAGCAGAAAGCAGTCATGCTGCACATGTCATTCTCTACTTTGGGAAAACGTATTACTTTGACAGAAGAGAAAAACCATTTTATTCTGTCAAGTTATGTGATGAAAAGAGTTGTAAAATCCATAAAAATAATCAAATTAAGAAAGGCATACAAAGTTACTCTTTTCAAAAGTAGACGCTTGAATATTGAAAATTGTATGCGGTTCAGCCTGGCACATAAATAATGATACACCTGAAAACAGTGATGTTAAAGAAGTTATAAAAGCACTCTTTATATAACCTACCCTGTAACAGCTGATTACATACTATTAAAATGCAATTGAATAAAGTGATTTCTGTGAGGATTCTATAACTTTCTTTTTTATAAAGATACAAGTTAAGACTTTATGGAGTAAAACTTTGTAAACGATTAGTGTGACCCGTTGGATTTTTCTCAGTTGTCATTTAATTTGGGCTTTTGTTAGAAGCTGAGTAACATTTAAGATTGTGTATTCTATCAAGTGGTTGGAATTCATTTCACAGTCATTGGGCAACAATTTTGTAGTTTTTGCTACCAAAAATGGCAGTTAGTTGGTATGACAAGGTTAAAAACTTGTGTCCTTGTGTTCTTCTGCTAAATCAAGAGCAGTTTTGCCTTTTGTGTTGTCCTCGATGTTGTCTAGTAGATTAGTCAAAGCAATACAAGTGCTTTTTGTCCATGGAAAAGAAGGGATCGCGTCCTGTACTTCTTTTGTACCTCTCAATGCTTGCTAATTCATTTAACCTGTCTACCGATGGCATCACTAAAGCTGTGTAATGAGGCAGGTCAGAGATAGATTCCTTCAAAGCCTATTTCCTTAAAACTCTAATACAGAAAATAAAACATATGCGCTATTATTTAATATAATGAACTTTATATTTATTAACTACATACAAGAAATGTTAATGAAATGCGAAGCTGTTTTAGAGAAAAAAGCTTTAGTAGGCTGGAATACATGGTGGAAGACTTAATGGAAGTGATGATGTTTAAACCAGCCTTGAAGAAAAGCTGAATAGAGTAAATTGATACTCAAGAAAATAGCTGTACAGTATGTTACTATTCTGAGAACTATGGGCAGTTGTAATACAACAGTAAGAATTTCTGTATCTAAACATAGAAAAGATGTAGTTGAAATGTGTAGAAGCTAAAAAATAGTGCACTTAGTATCAGTGGGGTTTGCAGCTCTGGAAGTTGGAGTCAGCAAATAAGTGGTGAGGGACTATGAAGGCTTGGGACATCACTATAGATTATTTTAGACTAAATTTATTTAAACGTATCCTCAATGTTAAGTTAACCTTAGCTAATAAACATTTACAATTTATAAACTTTTAAAAAATAGTAACATGAAAACAATTTCATGCATTTCAAAGGTATAGCTCTAATAGTTCTCTCCCACTCACTTCCTCAATTTCCCTCCTTCCTGCCTTTTAAAAAAAGTTTTTGCAGATATAACTTCAATTTCTTATATATTCACAGACCTAATTCACCATTAATCATGGTATTCTGCACATATTGCATAGGAAGGCTACAGTTCCACGGAAGTATAAACAAGTACTAAAAACAACAATCATGTCACAAGATGAAGATGTCCATTCCATTCCTATACACTTTTTTTAAAATAAAAATATTTGTTATTGTTAGAAAAGGTAGATTTACAGAGAGAAGACAAAGATCTTCTATTCTCTGATTTGCTCCCCAAGTGGCCACATCAGTCAGACCAGAGCCAATACAGAGCCCAGGAGCTTCTTTGAAGTCTCCCGTGTGAGTGCAGGTTGCAAGGCATTGGATCACCCTTCGCTGCTTTACCCAGGCCACAAGCAGGGAGCTGGATGGCAAGTGGAGCAGCTGGAACATGAACCAGCACCCATATAACAAGCTGTGCTTGGAGGTGCAGGATTAGCCAGCTGAGCCAATGTGCTGGCCTTCCTGTAGCTTTTGGTATTCTGTACTAACTGTCACATGTCAGAGAAAACATTGTCTTTTTCAAACATGATTATTTCACTAGGAGTAGTGATTTCTAGTTGCATCTATATAATTGCAAAAAAGAATTTCATTCTTTTTATGGCTGAGTAGTATTCCATAGTGTATATATAACACGTTTTCTCTACTCAGTAATTAGCTAATTACTGAGGGTTAATTCTGTGTCTTAACTATTGTGAGTTGAGCAGAAATGAATGTGGAGGAGTAGATAACTCTTTTATATACTGATTTTATTTCATTTGGGCAAATATCCAAGAGTGGATGACTGGAGCATATGGTTCATTTATTTGCATTTATGAGAAATCTCCATACTGTCTTCCATAATAGTTGTACTAGTTTATGTTACCAACAACAGTAGTACCTTTTCTCTCAAGGAGTGCTAAAGATTTTTAAAGTGTGTGTTTTAGTGTCACCAAGGATATAAGGATGACTTTCAGAAATCAGAGATAGTAATACATATTGTTTTCTGTAGGAGATGGAATTGTTGGGAAAAGGCAGTGAAATACTGAGTGTACATTAATTTTGTTCCCCTGGTCATACTTTTAGAACTTCTACAAGCAGAAATATGGAATATGGGTAAAGAACAATAATTCTTTACTTTAGCTTGTTAATAGTCTGCTGTATTTACTTTTTAGTCACATATCCACGCTGGTTATTTTGAAACGAGTTATGTAGGGGTGCATGCTTGGCATAGTGGTGACTATACTCACATCCCAGGAGTACCAGGTTACAGTCCTGTCTGAGTTCCAGTTTCCTGCTAGTGTGTGTGCTGGGAGGCAGCAGGTGATGCTGAGTTCGTACTCTAAGATTGACCTCTAAGCTCCTGATTTGGCCCTTTTTATTGCAGATATTTGGAAAGTGAAGCAGTGGATGGCAGATAATTATATATCCTTTCTCTCCCTCCTTCCTTCTGTTCCTCCCTCCCTCCCTTCCTCTCCCATTTCCTCTTCCTCTCTCTTTCCCTGCATTCAAATGAATAAAATTAATTATTCTAAAGATCTATGACATCAGTTAACATAGATATCTGTATCTTGTGCAGTATGTTTTAAGAAGTCTCATATCCCAGGGGCCAATGCTGTGGCATTCCAAATTAAGCTGTTCTCTGTCGTGCTGCCATACCATATAGGCATATAGGTTCAAGTCCCAGTTGCTCCACTTTTAGTCCATCTCCTGCTTCTACACTTAGGAAAGCAACAGAAAATGGCCCAAGTATCTGGGTCCCTGCCACCCTCGCGGGAGACTCAGGTGAAGGTCCTGACTTTAGCCCAGTGCGGCCCCAGCCATTGTGGCCATCTGGGAAGTACAGCAGTGTATGGAAGATCTCTCTCTCTCTCTCTTGCTGTCGCTTTTGCTCTTGCTGTCTCTTGCTCTCTTCCTCCATCCCTCCCTCTCATTGTAGTTCTTACTTTCAAATAAATAATTCTTCGGCGGAAAAAAAAAATCACTTCCGAAACACAATTATTAAACAGTCCTTGATATATCCTTTTATAAGTTTTCTGTGGGTGTATATGAGCACATAATACATGTACTTATAATGTTATAGCCTTTTATTTTTTCCCTTTAGGAGTATCATTTGTACCTATATGCCTGTTGTACTAACATATGCAGTTTTAAT